GACTTCTCACTTCAAACTACCATCACCCCCACTGTATGTCATATCCGACCAATTTCACATTACTCATCTTACCTTTTCTCGGCCTTTGCGTCTGTCTGTCTCTTTTACATCTGTGAATCACTCTTCTGTTTACCCCTCTCGATTTTTTGCCACTTTGATGTTCATTTTCCTTTCCCACCCCTTGACTTTCTTCTACTTTGATGGACCTTCCCTCTTCCCTCTCGACTTTTTGTGTCCTTGATATTTCTTCCCTCAGTGAAGCCAGCAGTAAGCTAAAGGGCTAATGACAACTATCAAAACGCCTATCATTTGGCATAAATAAATGAGGTTCATCTAAAGCTTGGTAGATTGTTATTAATTGCATTTGACGGTAATGAATCTCCCGGAACTGCAGTAATTCAACGAATATATTTTTATACCATGTGTTGTATCCTTGTCTACTGATCTTTTTGTCCTATTTAACCTAGCTGCGCTCGAGATTTGAGTCCATTATTAAATTTGGGTTGTAAGTTCTCTCAATAGGAAGATGTGATTCCTCCCCTATTGAGATTGTTCTTTACTTTGCAAAACTTTTCCTTTTAAGCATTTCCTGCGTGCTAATTAACTAATTTTGGGCATACAGATAATAGTGATGACTAATGAGGAGGAAATTTCTAATCAATGTTTCATCTACAAGTAGACAAAACACAAACACAAACAAACCACTCGTCCAGTAGCAATTGAACCGGAAATTGGACATAGCCATTGGAGCTACTCCATGAATACGGGAAAATTTCAAAGAAAATAATGCTATGTCCTTAAAAGCGATGCATTCGATTTCGAAGGGTATAAATTGAAAGAAACGATTGGCATCACGGCTTTTTTGCTATTACTTAGTATTTTGGGAGTGAGAAACACTCTGTGACATTTTAGGAAGAAAAGAAACAGCAAGATGGCCTTAAAATAGCCTCCTTGTGGTCATGGTGTTCTAAAAGATTAGATCGCGTTGTGTCCATTAACTGGTTTTATACTTTGTCATTCTTTTCAGGCTTTTATCCAGTTGTTGGATGGTTAAAATCTATCAGAACCGATAAATCATTGAGCTGTGAAGATGTTCCTGATACCAAATTAGAAGATGTTACCTTCCTGTTAGAAGGATTTAACTCTGACGCTGGCAATTCTCTTCTTAAGCTCAAAGAAGCCGGTAAGTTTACCAAATTCTTTTCTACCATTTTGTGGAACCAAAATACACTTGATTAGCATTATATTTGAATAACGCATCATTCCAGCTTAATACGATTAGTGCTTACCACTGATAACTAATATTTGTATACCACCTAGAGTGATTTAACCTTCGCATCAGATCTGCGTAAATACATCACAAGTCAAATTTTGAAGTAGGAAGTTCAATTGTGTACTTTTAACATGTAGTTGCTCAGATCTAGGTGAATTTTTAGGTAGACAGTCAAGCTGGTTGGAGGCTGATCAATGAGTGCAATAGCAATAGACCAATTTGTTGACTTGGTCAGCGAGATAAGCTTTAACTTTACTCTTGCTTAAGTTATATTAGAGGTGGGTAGGGTGGGGTGGGTTGAGGAGGGGGGGGGGGGGGGGGGGTGGTTTAAATTACACTAAACTGAGACTGCGCATCGGTTCATTCATTTTGTGGTTAAAATATAAGTAAATCATAAGAGCATGCCACTCATTAGCTAAAAGAAGATATTTTTTGCGTTTTACAGGCCCTAGTGAGTGTGCTTGCTGTACATCCCTTTGAAAGTTGAAACTGGTTATTTTAAATTGATCTCTACGTCAACAGACGTGAGTAAATCCAGAGGGTAAAAAAAGTTATTAACTACTGGGTTCAGAAATAAATTTTAATGGAACAAGTTTGCTTGACACTGCTTGTCTGTTAGGGTTTGTAACTTTTCATCATTAGCATTGTTATGCTAAAATGAGTCCTCAGCATCAAGTCGTTTAAGTTGTTGCTTTATAAATTATTCACTTGATGTCATTTGGCTCTCCTACTTATTGGCTTTCTCCCTCCTCTTAACAGCGGTGTTATAAATAGCCAAGATTGTACGATTCCCTAGGAAAGAAGAATGAACAGACTTTTTTGGTGCTATTGGTGTGTATATTCTCCAGGAGGTGATAAAACAATCCTGCTATTGTGGTAGAACCTGATACCTTTACCGCCTCCCCCCCTATTCGATAACAATGTGTCTTGGGGCGGAAACGTGGTACTGATAGCATATAAAGAATTGCATTAGTTAAGCTATACGAAACGTAGTTTGCCTGAGAAATCGAGCAGGATGACACAATGCAAAACGGGCATGTTTAGCTACAGAATAGACAATAATATTTCGTTTTTTGGTAGTCTATTCGACAGTATGCATGACTCAACGTCTTAACCAAACCCATCGTTAGAGTCATGCATTATCTGCTTGGGTTTGCCATTGTAGGATCATTAGCAATATGTGAAGATCTAGAAATTCTTACTCTAACCACAGGCAATTTGTTTTTTAATCTGCTATAACAGACTCCGGGGAATTCAGATAACAAGGGAGAATCAATTTTCTGACTAACCTCCCAATACTTAGTTACAATTGAATTCCTCCTGATAGGTGATTCAACTCCTAAATTACTTAGCACTAAGTGGATTTTCTACGCGGTGTATGGTGTCGATGATTAGGATACCCATGCATGCTTCTTGCTACGCTACCTCATATAAATACCAATTTCTTGTAAAATGTCTTCCTTTCAGGATTTTTCGACTCCTATTCGGAATTGGAAGATACTCTAAAATCTATTACACGTGAGTCAACTTTCCTTAGCAAATTTAATTTTTTTGCCTTTTCTTCCTAACTTACTACGGTCGTCTTGAAGAATTGCTTTCAAATATTATTTCCTCATAATTTGATTCGCATTTCAACCACAAGCACTGGAAATCACACTTTCTCCACCTTATCCTCTTTGGTTGCAGTAAATTATTTTCTCCTTCTTAAAGAGCTTTTGTTTAATGTAGTGCTAGTTAAAAAAGGTAACGTCGTACTTTTAAAGGTCATTATGTGGTAATTTGGTGGTGTCAATGTGCAAATAATATCTACTATTTTGCAAATATTTTTATTTTTCTAATAGACCACATTTCAAGTGCACGTGAACTCATTTAATCAAGGAGAATGCCATGGAGTTGTATTTAAGAGTCAATGTTCAATCATTCTTTTTGAAATTATTATTATGAGTGCTATTATGGATGTCAATTATTTCCCGATTTATGCATTTAATATTAAATATGCAGTATAAATATTCTTTTTTTACGTTTATCTTATGAGGCAAATATTTTGAAATTTCTTGATGTGAGAATCTGTTTGATTACTGGCTGCTTCAATTAGTTATCAAATGAAATAGAATTTGTTTACAAAATTTGCAGTTATAAACAAAAAAACAAGTACAAAACTTATTCTATATTAAGCATTATAAAGCTTAATTATTTTAGTTCAACTGTTTTCGAAATGGTAGCAAAACTAACATTACCCCCCAAATTTCTCGTGGTATTTAAAAGCGAAATCTTTCCTTCAATGAACATAATTTTAGAGGCTTTGCGCTTCGTCTGCAAGGGCAAACTTTAAGAGTTTAATCTTCCGCGATGAGAACCAAATGCATGACATGGTCAACTGTTCTGATTAAAATTGTAAAATTTTGAGTTCTGAATTACGAAAACTTGGGAATGCTGCTCTTTAATTTAAGACCTGCATAGAAGCATAATTGCCTCCAACGCGGTTGGGGCTTATTGAAAAATACATGTATCTCCTTGCTTATCAATCGTTGATCTATTAGCCTTAAAGCAGATTGTGGTTTTGATCTTATTATCTGTTTCGTGTAGATGAACTTCAAATTGTGGAGATCAACGGACGATCACTAGATTCCGTTTATGACGAGCACAATATCCAGTAGAAATGATAATAACTGCCATGAGTTAATGTGTCTTGACTTTAACTGAACTTTGCTTCATTCACGGGAAACAGATCTACCAGACACGCTGGCACGTTCTAAAGCTTATTCTAAGCCAAAATCAATTCTTGGCATAAAATGAATTAAATTTTTTTATCGATTTAGAATTACTATTATCATTTTTCTTTCAAATGGCAGGCTTTATGATAAATATCATTAGCCCCTTAGTTGAATTCGGCTTTCACAAGGGGGGAGACATTTATACCAGTTAATTAATAGCAGTTCATTAGCTGTCCTCTTGCTTCCCAGTGTCTCTGGGTTTCCGTCGTTGTCTTTAGGGCTGGACACCGAATCAGGTGGGTCTTCTCCATTTCCTCCTGTAGGTTACATAGAGGGGCATGTGGGTTAAATGTATGCTCCCTATCTGTGAAGGTGTTTTGCCAGGCAATCGTGTCCAGTACGTAGTCTAAACTCAGCAACGGCTCTGTCCGATACGTAGTCTAAACTCAGCAACGGCTTCGATTCTCGCCAGCCGGGTATGTCGGAGAGTGCCACTGTCCACTATTTCTCCTTCTATGTGGTAGAGTGCCACTCTCCACTGTTTTTCCTTTGTTCGAACTTTAAGTTCGTTGCAATCGGAGAGTGCCATTCTCCACTGTTTCTCCTTGGTTCGATCTTTAAGTTCGTTTAACCTTGAGGTCTTGAATTCTCTCCTGATTAAGGTCTTCATTCTTGAGGTCTTGAATTCTCTCCTGATTAAGGTCTTCATTGTGCGAAAAAATCAGCTTGAAGCGATTAAGTATAAGTCAAAATATATTTTTTAATCATTTGAACCTTAGGCAATAAGTTTAACTGTCGAGACGAGATTAAGTAAAACCAATTTCAATTGATCACATTCTTAGCTTGTGCTGGTCATTCATTACATAATTGAGACTCCCTAATGTTGATGAAACAGTTCAAATTGCTTGTGAATTGTGATTATTGTGTGGGAGGATTCAGTATTCGGTGATTTGAGCAAACTCTTCTCTATTAAGTACAATTACCATCTCATCCACTGATATTGCTTTTTAGCGGATTTTATCTTCAAGTTTCATTTTGTTCAAAATATTTCAGTGTGTTCTTAAGTTGTATGACATTTTAAGGGTCAGTTAAATTTTAAAGGTTAAATGAGTCTTATAAATAATTTTTAAAAAAGGTTGATAGAAAAATAGTGTTTAAGTGCTTTTTCTGTACTTAGAATCCTCAAATTCACCCTATTTTAAATGACTATTTTCGTGAATACTCTACTGCATTTATGGAAATGTTTTAATTTCAACGAATGAAAAATGATAATTAAAAATCAGCTGATTGGTTGAAACAAGTGAAGCATCTTAGAAATTGCAATAGGAGTGGGGTTCCACTATTAAAAAAATTATTTTAAATATCCAAATAGAATTGGAATGGTTTCGAAAGGGGTCAGGAAATAAATTTAATTGCACATTCATCTCCGGAGTATAATACAAACTGACGTGCAATTACATCACATGAAATGGGCTGTGGTGTGTTAAAGTCATGCTGACTAACAATATTTTCGTAACTATGACCTGGTAAATGGGTTCGAAATCGAGCAGTGTGTTCTTTTGCGTAACCAGCGTGAGATCTGAATCCCCAAGTTATAGATAATAAAATACTTTGAATAAATTTACCAATTTCCACATTCAGATTAATGATTCTGATTTTTGTGCCTTAGTGTGTAAATTATTGCAAACATTAACTTCCGCACATTTCGAATAAGTTTAGAGAAGATGAATGGTGAATTGGTGTAAAGTCCATTTTACGAATGTTAGGCGTTCCAGTCTTTCGGTTTTCCAGCTGAAGTGCGCTAAAATTATATGCAATATTTTCATATACCATAATAAGTTTTGATTTTAGCCTATTCCTCATCGATAAACTTTTGATAGAGGGAGTTATATTATATTTATTTAGTACCTCGTTATGTATAACGCTGCCATGGACATAATTTCTCAATGTCATTATCAATTTCTTTTATCTGTCCTTTCAGCCTCATTTGACGCTACACTTGATGGCTCCTCCTACTTCATTCCATCGTCACTAGGTCTCAAGCCATCCTCAACTGGGTCCCAATTTCGAATGGACGATTCCGAGAGGGCGCTCAGTTTTGTAAATACCAACACCTATCTCACTGATGGGGGCATATTTGTGGGCTTGCCGTTAAGAAGAAGGAAAGGACAGGTGTGTATAACAAAGTCATTGAAGCAAGCAGCGGTCTTTGCTCTCATGGACTCGCTTGTTATGGCCGCGCGTCTCCTATTTGTCAAGGGTATCAATAAGGGTATGTATCACTGTTAATTGTCATTAAACACCGACGAATTGTCAAATCTCTCATGACGGGAGATTTAGAAATTTCACTTTGTCGGTTTCGTATTGTTCTGTTCATAGTTCCGACTAAATTGCAATGAATTTTCTCCTTCATGGCTGGTTTGTTGTCTTTCAGTAGATCGTAATAGTCCCCTTAAAACTGCTCACCATCGAGAAAAGAAAGTAGTTAATGTAGCATATGCATTTCGCTCCTCCTATTTCGACTAGTAATAAGTTCCGCTGATTGGGATCTTTTATTTGATGTACAGCGAGGAATCCCGAACTGTCTCTTTCTCTCTCTCTCTCTCTCTCGACTTCTGAGTTTGCAGACATTGGCTACTTCACAACTGGGGTGCAAAATTAATCAGGGTAATGTTTTGTTATCTTAAAAAAATAAAATTGAGGTAACGAGATTTGAGAGGAATATTCAGTCTCATTATACTTTTCCAAATGTGGATCTTTTTATGATGCAGCCTGACTATCTCACTGTGATTTTTATATCCTATTTTAAAATTTAAGTGAATGCGTGGTAGTTAATTAACTTCAACTATAGCGATGTAAATTTATGTCTTTGCTCAAAATTGTAATACCCTACTTCAAATGATTGCCACGCTGTATTGGTTATAGCTTCGTAGGCGGGAATAGGGGAGGTTGTAAATCTGTTGATAGAGTAGAAAATTGGAATATCGTTTACACTTCTTTTCCATTTCGAAGAATTCTGGCGCATTCTAACAGGGTGGTATCGGTGTGGTTCGATTACCTATTCATGCCCATTTCGTGAGTTTTTCCCTTTGGAGAAGCCGAGTGTAGTGGGTATTGTTTTCGTTGGTGTTCGCAGTCCCTACGCTAAACTCTTAAATCATAAAATTTGCGTCGGTTGGTCCTCAGTGGCTTTCTATATTCAGTGGATGCTAATAAACTGTTTATCGCGTTTAATTTGCTTGTTAATTCCCACACACGTATCTTTTATGGATTTATTTTAACTAGACTGTCTTATTCTCGCATCCAGATATGATGAAGGCACTTATAAGTCTATGCTAATGTGTCATGGCCTGATTCCTTATTTAAATTTTCATATTTAGCTGAATTAAGGCTATACTTATATTTAATCTAAGTTGAGCCTTTCTTGATGTCTAAATTTCTAAATTCATATCGTTTTTAGCTGCCGTTTATATCGTTAGATTTCATCAATGAGCTCCAGACTTAAATACTCAGTTCAAATATCTTGACTGGAGTCCGATCATAACTTTTTTCCCTATCAAGTGAACTTATTTTTAATGAGAAAGGCTATTGATGTTAATCAGTTGTTATTAATTGACCGCGTAATTAGTATAAGCAACTAGAATGGATTAACTGAGAGCCTATAAAATGAGAGGGGAGTAGAGATAAAATGAATGCTGTGAACAACCCCAAGGTGTCAAACGGTCCTACTTCATGAAGTTGTTTATTTGAGTTGTATACTATCTGTGTGATGGATTGTTCACCTTCTGAGGTTCAAATATTTTTCATGATTCGTTCTCTTGCTCTCGCAGTAAATGTCTATCTATGACATTCAGTGCTTATTGATAGCCTGTTTAACCAATAGATATCGGTATCTCTTCTTCAGGTCATTATTTCCACTAAAGGTTTAGAGAGCTAAATGGCTTTGTATGATAGCAGGGAGCTTTGTAAGTCCATCGATGAAAGCATTCGCACAAGTGTGCTTGACTAGATTAAGGTTATCCTGCAGCTACTCTTATGGGAGAGGAGCGTATTTTCTATTCCTCTTGTTAGTCAAGTTCATTCGCTGCTGTTAGCCGTCCAAGCCACCAGATAAACGGCAGTGAGTATTGATATTGTGATCTCTAACTTAGCGTACGCGCAGTTGACCACGATTTTATCTTGGTTTTCCCCATATGCAGTTCCATTTTATTACTCACTTCTGGAATTTTCTCTCTTACAATTGTCGCCAAATTTCAGATTTCGTGTAAGGATATGCTTATTTAAACAATATTCTTGTATTTTACAGAAAAGAATATTCGAAATCCAAGTCGCAACTTACAATGAAAGTTTCCTTTGTTACTCTATTCAAGTGGAGCTTACTCTATTCCATGAGTGCATATTAGCTCATTCTTTCGCTCTCATTTTAGAACTCGCCTCGGAGATAACAGTCTTACGCGTCAATGGTAATCTCACCCGATCTGATTGGCTAATGCAACGATTAGCTGACACCCTAAACCTACCCGTGGAGCGATCTTCAACCTCTGAAACATGCTGCCTGGGTGCCGCTATTGCTGCTGGTATTGGAGCAGGTTAGTTCATTGCTACTTATACGTGTTCATTAGATGATCATTCATATTTGTTTTTTTGTAACATCTAGAAACCTATATGCCATAATTCTATTTCAGGGATTTGGAAAACCTATGGCGATGCAGTTAAACTACTGCAGGCTTCGAAGACCCGTTTTGAACCCATTCCGCCCTCCGTTTTGAGAATGAGGAGGCGATACCTTTATTGGACCGGTGCTTGCGCAAAAGTCATTGCGGCCCACAATTCCAGATCTATAGAATTGGGTGAAGTAATTTCCCTAAATGATCTTGTCTCTTTGGCTCTATGATGCTCACCCTCATAACCCGTAATCTTTCACAGTTTTGCCATTTTAATCTGGACACAATTTTTTGATATTTTTAATAAAGCATTCATTTTTAATTATAATTGTCCATTCTAAGACTATTTCAATTTCTATTGACACTTATTCATTGCATGCGGTGTTCTTGCCTTAAAATAAATTTCATTTTCACATTTTCAAGCTTTGTTATATTTAAGTAATTTTTTTCAAATTTCCATCGAAAAATTTTTCAACAACTCTATTACACAAAGAGAGCAGGAGGTTCTTTTATTGAAGAATGGCTTTTAAGCATTTCTCTCTAATAGAAATTGTGGCTTGAATCTATGAAGTGTTGCCGAAGTCATGTCATTTAATGCAATGAGCGAACGCATAAACCAAGCGTCTCCTATATTCATGCGAATTAAAGCACTTTAAAATATCGTATTTAGAAATATTATTTTGCTGAAATTATTATAAAAACTTCTCCCCCCCCCCCAATCTTAGAGAACAAAATATTGATTTCAGTCGTACTGTAACTTTTTATCTTCTTTTACAATGCCTTTCCTATGAACGTTATAAATCACGTGAAAAGGTGTGTTTATTAAATTAGACTTGTTCAATCATCAGGTTCAGTGGTGAATGTGAGAAATATGTCAAAAGATATTAAAGGAAAGAATCATTCTAGAGACTGATATTATAGTTAAGGTAATGATCTAGAAGGCGGATTACCAGTGGCTCTATTTCGGTAGTTGCTATGTTGAGAACTGTCAGTTGAACTGGGACTTCGTTGTGCTTTACGGTGAACTTCATTCGATTTCTCAGTTGGCCTGAATGAATTATTCATTGCATCTCCCATTACTTCTTTCGATGAGCTCATCAAACTAGCAGCCGACGTATGTCCACCCATTCCAAAAGCTGACCCTCCTTGGTTCTGTCCTACTTTAAAGACAATTGTGTAGGGACTATTTCGAATGTGTTCTCCCAAATAGCAAATGTTTACTGTGTGGGGAACAATAGCGGTGATGGGAAAACTTAGAATATAGGTACCGTCCTTTTTGTCATGTATGTACGCGCAAACTTTCTGGAATTGACCATCATCTTTGGTAACAGAGTAAGTAATAAATCGTTTTACTGCTTCACAGTATTTCTTAGAGATTCGAAAGTCCAAATTAAATAGCTGACCGAGTTTGATTTTAGGAAGCATGCTTGGTAGAATTTCTGCATAGTTACTGTCAGCCAATCGCTCTAGTGATCCAATATTCGCTTTGGGAAAGGATTCAAAATTAAGTTTTCCGACAAATTTGAGAGGTACACAATCAACCATGAATTCATTCAAATGTTCAATTGCTTGATTAATACTGAATATGCAAGCATGAACATCAAATACTAAATCTGTGTTTTTAAATTGTTCAGTAGCTAGTATATGCGCAGAGGTATCACGTAGTTCCTTCAATCGACTAATCTGATCATTTATTTGAGAACACTGGTTTTGGAAATCGGAAGCGGTGGAAGAAGTGCTTGACTGAAGCTCCTTAAAGGTAATCCCATTAAAACAAAATTATAGAAATGTTACCTGAATAAAATTTTGTTTCCATTTCTCCAACTGCCCTGTAATAGTGCGAAAGTACTGGTCAAGATCATTGATTGTGTCATCGCAGGAACGAATGAATTCATTAAAGTCATCTTCCTTTTTAAGCAGGAGTTCACCCGTATTCATAGTCTTTTCGTCAGCTAATCGAATAACCTCTTCCAAGGCCTTGCGAGCGTACTGCCACTCACTCATTATTTTTTCTAAGGCATTGGGAAAAAATACTAAATTACTTAAGACAAATAATAGACAAATGAAAGTAATTAGGAAATTTAAAAGACAATAACTTGATAAATAATAATATTATATTTAGATTATACCTGAAAATTAAAAACTAAATTTTTGAAATTCCTATGCTAGATGTTGGTATTTATTAATGTTAATTTAAAAATATTAGATTGATAATTCAGCCGGCACTAAAATAATTAATCAAACTATAGTAAGAAATGATTGTTAAAAAATTATAAATAATGAGTGTAAGAAACTTCGGATGCTATGTCATACATTTTCCATCAAGTTGAATATCGCTATGCATACTTTTGCCATGCAAAAAATGAGACGTCATAAAAAAATCAGTCACTTACAAAAATTGTCTTAGGACACTTGGGTTTTTATGTTTGAAAACGGAATTTAATAAAAAAATCTCAGAAATAGTACAAATTGTTTACCTAATACAGTAACAAATAACTATTTCAAATAATTGCCTTAATTTCAAACTCAATTTGAAATGTTATAACGCAGCCACAAATGTATTTAATACATTAGCTATTAAAAATTAAGTAAATTGTTGCCTAAAAACTATTTATTCGTTCAAAGTAATTATAATATTTATATTTATTTTTGCATTAATAAGAAATTAACAGTTCTGCTCAGAAAATTTTTATTTAACACTGCAATCCCGCATATTTTGTAAAATATGTATCTTAAAGAAAATTGCACACATGAAGCCTGTTTTAACATCGAGATCTTTATCTAAGGTAAATATATTGGCTTTTCTATATGTTCTCCTCATTATAGCGATTTCTGACTTATATTTTAGGAACATATAAATTGTTAACGAATATATTTGTCGAGTAAATTCGAATATAGGACTAATCACTTTCTAATTGGCTTGTTTATTGCATGCGATATGAGTGAGATAAGGCTGTAGTGAATTCGTTGCAATGATATGTCTTATTAGACTGTAGAAGTCGTACTGGTTTTCATTTGCAAAATTTTTCAGAATTCTGTTTTCTCAAATTTCAAAAGCGCATTCAATTGTTATAAATTTTATTTCCTTTGCTACCTCAATATTTTGATCTCATTTATTGTATATATTTATATTACTAATGCTGAACATTGACGCAATACATACCAATAAATTGCACAGAAAAAAGTGTTACGTTTGCATGTTTAAATAGTATTTACATAAAAGAGTACATGTGAGTATAAAAATTTTTCTTACCTTTATTAAAAATATGTATATTTTATATTTTCACACGTAATATTATGGCTCTTTCAGCTGTATTTTCGACATTTAGGTAGTATGTTAACACCCAATTCTGTTCTAATTCACCAAATCATAAAACATCGAGAAAAATCGGTAAACGCTGATACAATTCATTTGCACATATTCTTGATACACTTGTAGCGGACTGCTACACGATCACCCTTTGACTTATCCTCTGTAATCACTATAATTAAGGTATGGGAAGGCTCCCGGAATTTGCCAATCTAGTTCAATGCACCTAGTTGATTGCATCTAACATAACTTTAATGAATAGTAATAGCTGTTTAGCTGAGAAGACCTCTGCACACACAATTGCTCCTTCCAGTTTAAGAATGGTCATGAAATTGTTTGGTTTAACTGTGCTAGAATTATGTACTTCACATGAAATACGATTAATTACCAAGAAGTGAGTTTATTCTCATTCAATCGAAGCTGATCAAATGATAAGGCCAAATCAATCTCTGTTTATTACTTACATTGATTGATCGATTAACGGCCTTGGGCCCATTTTTCGCAACAAAGTAGAAATTTGAATATAATCTTTGCATTTGAAAGCTCTATGCTCTATTTTACTGAAAACTGAGACTAACATTTACTCAATCCCCATGGGATCACCTATTTTTCGATTTTAGTCCATACTTATTCGAAGTTATGAGTAGACTAGCTTACTTAACGACGCCTTTCTGTTAAATATTCAAAAACCATTTCCCTTAAATGATCGAATCACTTATGAATAACTGCTTAATTAATTAAATTGCCACACTGTTTAATCATAGCACCAGTTTGGGAATATTTAGGTGATTGAGTACTAATTGCACACCTTGACAAAAAGGTCGTTCCGAAGTTCAATGCACTCACATTTATATTATTTTTAAATGGAGCGAATTCAAAGTTTGTTGAAAACATTATCGAATAATCTAATGTGACTATATGGTAGAGAAGGTATAATTCGGAAAATAGGAAGTATATTTTTCATATGGGAATCCGGAATTTCTCCATCTTCTCTATTTAACTCGGTAGGAGGGGAATTGTCATTTTATAAAGAATCATTTGTAATCAAAATCTAAATCTAAAGCAAATGTTGAGGACGATACTCTGGCCTGTGGCTTTTTCATATGATTTAAGTCAAAGTGGACACTGACAAAAAAGATGTCCTCATTGATTGCGTGGGTTAAGAAGGCCCCTCTCGCTAGTTCATAGCATTGCTCGATAGCTGTGAACAATCGTACACAGTTTGGTAATTGACGCTTCACTAACTTCAGTCAACTTCCCTCCAGATATGAATTTAAAAATGCGGTTCAAGATTGTTGGCGTTACTATTAGTTTATTTTGCATATAAGTGAACCAAAACCTCACGAAACAAGCTTTTATTTATACCTGTGGGACACGTCATAGCTTAACACATCATCGCATGCCTGCACGCCAGGATTGGGATGTGCGACCTGGGAGGTGCGACCGTACAAACAGTGACCAATCATTAACCTCTGTTTGTGCTACCGTACAAACAGTGATCAATCATTAACCTCTGTTTGTTTCCGTACAAACAGTGACCAATCATTAACCTCTGTTTGTTTAACCTAATTCGCCATCCTGATCATGATTAAGTTACCGGCGTGATCACAGTTCACCTTCGGTATCTATTGGATAAACGTATCGGTTATACGTCTCTGCTTCTCTAGACTCGGTAATTGGGAGAATCCATCACAAAGGTTTCTGAGACTTAAGCCAGGCTTTACTAACGTAGAAATCCGCTACATACCTTTGACTCTTGCTCCACCCCCCCCCTCTCCCTTTTCACCAAGGCAATTATTCACTCATTTATTCACCTCTACTACTGAGTCATTTGTCTACTGCCAGAAGTTTGATCGTTCCAAATCAGCACTGGAAATACCTATTTTACAGCATTAAACTTTAAGGCCACATCTTCATTCTGCCTATTTGTCTACTTGGGGTGTGCGATAGACTTACCTCCACGTGGTGCAC